AATGTTTCATCACGGGATCCGGCGTGCGAGATTCTCGTGGGACATCCAAGATCCGGATAGCGCACACCACGTTCATTTACCGGCACGCAAAGATCTCGTTAACCGGGTAATAAATAAATACAAGGTACTAAATAATACAAGTTACGCACATGGGGTTGAGGTCGCTCAGGGGTTGAGTTAGCTCAAGTTATTTAGCAAAGTTTCGTAATCGCACCACAAGATCAAGACACGGTACACATAAAGGCCTTATGAGATTCAATACTGTTTGATGAATTCGCGAAAGTTTTCAAGAATTTGTATTGTCTATGTATAAAGCAGTCACAGCTAGTTTCTTGTTTTATATTAAATGTATAATACAAGATTCAGTGAATGGTATGTATAAGATTCTGAAGAATGAAATACAAACAGCGCCGCAGGCAAATAAATCTCGACAGAACCAAATGAAGTAAGATACATTTTCCGTAAAGTCAGTTTTTGTTTGGGTTTCTGTCTTCTCGTAGAGTCTCAGCTTTCACTATTTTTAAGATTACTATTTAAATAAATCGGCCATGAAATTTATAAGTAGATTGATAATATATAAATGCATAAATATATATATCGTCGTTGCAAATTTGAAATCTCCTATGTGTATAAATGTAGTTTTCGAGAAAATCTAATAAAACTAACTCCTGAAAAAAAAAGACGCTAATATTTTTTAGCAAATAAGATACTTTGATCTACAATAAAATTTAATGCAAATCGACACTTATGATTTTTTAAGATTGAGGCGTAATAAAGTGAAATATTGAGATATGCACATGGGAGTTTTTGCTGAGTTTTCATAATATATGAAAACATCATTTTGGCCCAAAATGTCACATAGGAGATTTAAAATTTGCAGCGACGATATATTAAAAGTTGTCGTGGCCCAATGGATAAAACGCCCGGTGCATTTGAATCGAACGACACTGCTCTGCCATGGTTCGAATCTTGGTGACAGGACTCAATTTTTATAACGGTATAAGTACTCAACAAATGATCACGAATGACTCCCGTGGTGAAGGAATTATATTTTTTTTATTGTATCAATAAGTAACTTGATTAGATTGTACTCTTCTACCCACTTATGTAAAGCTCTCCATCTTTAAGAACGGTTAGCTGGTAGATAACTCAATTGTTGAGTTAAGCTCGCCATTTTATAACTTTTTCGTAATCATTGTATTGTATTAACTGTGTGTACAATAAAGAATATCGTGCAATAAAAATCAAATCAGGAAAAAATATAATTTGTGTAATTACTGATGGTATGTACTTTCATATGTACGTGAATTTTTTTTTTTATTTGATTTGATATGGGATCCGGTGAGTCCACACAGATAGGTGTCACAATCCTGCCTATTCCTGGCATATAGCTGTCATACTATATAATTAGATGTTTGGGTCCTGATAATCACTTAAAACCAGGTTAGCTATGAGCTCGTTCGCTTGTGTAAGCATTGAAAGAAAAAAGCCTTTAATTCGTTAACTATAGATGCTAACTGTTTGCTAAAATACTAAAAAGATGAACATAAATACCTACATCAATGCATGTAGCCCTCTCTAACTTGGACATTACGTAATCTGCAATAATAAAACTGGAAGACGCAAACAAAACAACCAGCCACGTTAACCCAAAATTAAATTATAATAACTAATTCAAAATTTACACGCGTGACTGAATCAGACGAAACGAGAGCTGCTAGTGTATCGTAAAAGGTTTTAATGGAAGCCATAACAGTGGCTGCTTTCAATTTATACGTCTGTGCGACACCCGACACAAACTAAGTTATTAAACCGAGAAACTAATGAAGTCTTTAACGGGTGGCACTTCGCCGCACATGCTTTATTATATTCTTAAATGTACTGTATCTAAATTTGAGCGACCTTTGCTTACAAAAGATCTTCTTTTTTTTCCAACAATAACTACACCGTGTACTTGAAAAGTTGTCACTTGAAATAGATTCATTCTCAGTATCTTCGGACTCGTCTTTGTCGGAGTCTACTAGATATTCAAGAAGATCGAAGGGAAAAATCGACAAACTTACTTCAGTGCGCCACGTAGGGCACAAATGACCTACATGGCAGTCAGAGTCAAACAAACATAACACCTATAACTTAGAGCAGCGCGGTTACACACGTGCTACACTACTCTCTATTATACTCACTCATTGCTATATATGAATTCACAATAAGAGCAGCCTTTGGCATAGCCAACATTATTTTAAAAGAACACGTGTTCGATGGATGATCGAAATTGAAGATACGGTATCGCCTTAGATTAGATAGACATATAGACACTAAAAACATGATTTTTTTTAACTATTGTTATATCTAAAAGACAAAACACTAAGTACATTTTTCTCCTCTGTTTACCAAACGATTTCGTTTTGCTTTAGCTTAAGCTTTTTAGCTTTTGACATTGACGAGTTTTAGTGTTATTGTTTTATAAAAAATCAAATTGGATTATTTTTTCAAATTGACAATAACGAAACGAACGAGAAAATGCAATCTATAGATTTATTATAAACCTCAGTCTCGGTGATTTTTATTATTATTTACGACTATTCCGCGAACGCTAGTACTGCAGGTATGAATGTTGAATTTTTTTAATTACAAATGAAATAAGTTTTATATCTAAACAAACAAAGTATAGAAAACATGTAATTTAAAAGACGCAAATAATCAGATTCAGATTTTTCTTAGCAAAAAGTCAGTGACCTCGTCAAAACATAGCATACACAAAATCATAAAATCCAAAATAAATCATTAACCTGTATTAACAATGCTTAAAAGAGTACTTTTTCTGCTGCGTACACCGTCTGTGTAAGTACTTGTAATTTCTACTAATGACAATAAAAAAAAAATAAGGGCCTATGTTAGCTTATTACATGGAAAATATTTAATCTAAACTAATTGATACATTATTTAATTAAGACAACTTTTATGGTTTAATCCCGCGTTCATATAATTAAATCGGAAACAGATTTTTCTCTCTGAATGCTAATCTTGACGATAGATGGACCAATTAATCTGAAATTTAACAAATTAGTGCGATATCGATTGCAAACGCTTTAATTAACTTGTTTTGATGTCACATATATTACTCTCCGCTTTTTCTCGGTAGGTTCTTGAAATAGAAACAGTAAATTTGACTTTAAGTTACGCGCGTGTTTCTCAGCTGCCATAAACACGTCCCGTAAACGCTGTACCTATCTAATCGAATCGACCTAATACTTGTTACGAAAGTTAGTCGTAAAAATCGTCCACTTTACTATCTCTACTGACTTAAAAGTTCTTTCTTCTTTAACGATTAGTATTTAGATACGTTTGATTCGTTTAGATTCACAATATAAACCGTTTATTTTAGTCCTTCTCTTCTTTTTCTCCACCTTATCCCACTAGGTGGGGTCGGTACAGTTATTTTTTCTCTCCCATTCTCTTCTACCAGCCGTCATCTCAACACTCACTCCTCTCTCTCTCATATCGTCATTCACACACTCCACCCATGTCTTCTTCGGTCGACCTCTTCCCCCTCTACCTTGCACTATCATTTCCATACACCTCCTAGTCACATGCATCTTTTCTCTACGCATCAGATGTCCATACCACGCTAACCGTCCGCTCTTTAATTTGTAACTTACCGGGGCGTTACTTTCACACTTCCTCTGATATACTCATTCTTTATCTTGTCCATTCTTATCACTCCACACATCCATCTAAACATTCGCATCTCTGTCGCATGCATGTTTATTTTAGTGAATGTAGAGAAATATGTATAAAAGAACGTTTTTGGTTATGGAATGTAATATACATGTTTTGTAAGCAATCGAATATATTATTTAATGAAGAGAAAGAATGGCGTATCCTTTAGGCCACGTTTGATTCAAAAGAGAGATTGACTAATACTTTTACATTTGCAAAATGTTCTTAAGACAAACACATCTAAATCGACACAGATAACGGGTACAACATATAAAACTGAAAATATTATAAACCGTAGTTATTGACGGATTTTTTATTTATTTTATTACATTTACTAAATGGTAAATGAACCTATGGTTTATCTGCGTGTTAAGTGGAGATTATTATATTGTTTGGTATTATATTATTTAAAATACGTGCTTGGTGTATTTATTAATATTAATTTTAATCAGGATGAATATAAATTTATAATTTAATATTAATTGTTTTATATCAAACAGTCTATAGTCTGGTTCGTCTTAATCAAACTCCCAAAATTATAATTTGCGTAATTACTGGTGGTAGGACGTTTTGTGAGTAAGCACGGGTAGGTACCACCACTCTGTCTATTTCTGCCGTGAAGCAGTAATGCGTTTCGGTTTGTAGGGTGGTGCAGTCGTTGTAACTATACTGAGACTTTAGAACGTATATCTCAAGGTGGGTAGCGCATTAACGTTGTATGTGTCTATGGGCTCCAGTAGCCACTTAACACCAGGTGGGCTGTGAGCTCGCCCACCCTACTCAGCAATAAAAAATATATAGATATTTTTACGTTCACCTAAACATTAGATAGAATTTTTTTATAATCTGCTGAAATTTCATATCATAACCAAGGCTGTCCATATGGATATTATAACATAGATCAATTTAAAAAGATTAATTAAAAAAAAAAAAAACATTGAATACGTTGTGACATTAAACTAATGTTTTATCAAATCTGTTGCTCAGAAGAAGCGCGCAGGATAGCCGTCTCCATTTCTCTTTGGGTTAATTTGAGTCTTTTGATGAAGCCCAGTGTGAGCGACTACGTCTTAATGCCATATGCTACTTAATATCCATTAAACATAAAAACATTTTTTGGCAGGAAAAAAAAATATGCACAGCCCTAATACTGCACCCAAATACAGCCGGCATTAACATAATAATATGTTTTAATTTTAATAAACGCATTTTTGGCACAATAATGTTAATACTTATTGATAAGTTGTCACGCACTTGTGTAAATACCTCATTGTTATATACTCAGGAAACACAATCTATCTAGTGATATAATTAAGTATCATCTACTAAGCCGTGTTGAGTGGCTGGTTTCTAGTGGGATTAATTACCAGGTTATATCTTATTATATTATATATTATGTACTGAGCTAATATTGCGTAACAATATTTAGTTAACTCTATTATTCAAATCAAATATAGCCTAGCTATAAAAGTTACATACAGTCTTTATAATTGTTACATCATAATATGGTCGCACTGAAATGAATCAATGCAATGAACGAAAATACATTTAAAAATTATATGAAATTAGGTTGCTGAAATATCTCTAAGTAGAAGCTATGGCTTCTAATAGAAATTGTCCTGAAATACGAGAGAACGGCGAGGAAGAATCGACGGAGCTTCGGAGGCTTTTCAAAGGATTAGGTATTTAACATTATATATATTTATAATATTAAAAAAATACAGGAATTTACTTCTTAATAATCGATTTCATTGAATTCTCCGGTATGACAATTTGATGAGTAGTAAAATCGAGCAATAAGACGAAACCGTTATTTTTTCATTCTACAAAAAAAAAAATTTTGGAATCGGCCAGTAACCCTGCCTTGTCATCGTTATGATTCCAATTTGATTCCGTGGGATATCGATGGTAGGCCCGGATTGCCGCGTTTCTAACTCTTAATAAGAGATTCGTAAGCTCGGAGGAGAGTCTGATGCGGTGGAAGCTGTGTAACTATACTTGAGACCTTAGAACTTATATCTCACGGTGGGTGGCGCATTTACGTTGTAGATGTCCAGTAACCACTTAACACCAGGTGGGCTGTGAGCTCGTCCACCCATCTAAGCAATAAAAAAAAAGCAGTCCTCCACGTCGACTTCTTTGGAAGATCTTATGATCGCGGAAGAAATGTGTTCCGCTATCATAATTATTCACAAAAGCGTACGCAGATCAAGACGGAATAATCGAGCAACGGTTTAAGCATCTAGAATACGAAATCAATTCAAATTTCAAATTTTATTTCAATAATCCTATCCAAGAGTACCTATGAAACCATCACTATCAGAAAATTGTTTGTTTTATTTCGTTGCACTTTTTTTTATAACATGCCTATATTTATGATATGGATGACATCCATATTTCTGGTCTACTCAGTATTTCAATAATGAATTGTTCCACATCCATTATATTTTATTAGCTCAACGCGCGGTAAAAACAAAATGGTTTGTTTCGGTCGCACGATGCCTCAATGCATCCACCGACACCGCCGCGCACGCCGCTCTGAGCTGTGGCCGCCTCGATATTGGCTAGACAGTGATTCTCAACCATTTTTTTGTTGCGGCACATATTTAACGATTTAAAAATTTGGCGGCACACAAAAAAAAAAGAAAAATTATTTACTTGCTACAACACACTGCATAAATAGTTATTCAAAAAATTTTAATATACGAAATAAACTAAAATATACAATAATATTTTTTTTGTGGATTTAAATATATATTCATGTTTAAAATATTTTTCTTTTCAAATGATATAATTTAATAATATTAACATTATTATATATTCGCAAAATTTGGCGGCACACAAAAGTGCCGCGGAACAGTGGTTGAGAATCACTGGGCTAGTAGATTTATTTCACTCGCACATCGTGCAGCTCGTCGCCGCCAAATGTCACGCGCCTCTCGCCGCGCCTCGCAACGCACCGCCAGCGCCAGTAGCTGTGGCATACTTCATAGGTTGTCTACCATTTGTTTTCGCCGCTCCCGCTTGCCACGTCTCACGACGCGCCGCAATTCGCACCGCTCTCAGCTGTGGCCAAGGGGTAATAGTGCTGGAAAAAGCGAGGAAATATCAGCTGCGTTTTGTCCATCAATTTTTTTTTTGACTGTTGCTCCCTCGCCAGTAGAAAATAAATCCTTTCTTCTTCTTATTCAACCTGTCTCCAGCCAATACTGACTGAAGATCGTTTCGCACTCCATTCTTTTCGGTTCTTTCTTCGGTTTATTTTTGGGAATTTTATTACTTTTACTCTTACCTGTTATTGTACAGCCATAATATCATGTATCACAGGATCAATAAAAAAATAAACTAATTAAAACTTTATTTATTCATATTTTAGAAAACTGCCCTGGATTCGTTCGGGTCGGACCAGCCGGATATTTATTTTCGGTAGCATTTGAACCAGAAATCAAGAGTATATACAACATGGAAGTAAGAGCTACTGATATAATATATGTCGCCACATTTCCGAGATCAGGTATTTATTCTTTTACAATAATGGAAGATTCTTAAATCGGACTGGGCTTTTTTGGAATTATTCATCTGGATTTTAGATTGAAAATTAACTTTATATCCAAATTGTCCTCGTATTTCTGATCCGACATCGGATGTGGGATAGGGCGCATTTCCCTATGCCCCACTCGGCACACTCCTACCTATTTCTCGGTACCTGCTAAAAGCAATTATTAATCTGCCACTAAGCTACACTACACTACACTACACTACAAGTCTAAAGAACCTAGAAGAAGAAAAAACGATTTGATCGATTTTTATTTCAAACTCTACTTCGGCAGGCACGGGGCAAGTTGTTGATCAGGATAGCTGATAATAGCTGATAGATAGGATCAGGATCGCAATAAATAGCTTTTGATGACGAAGCGTATGATAGTGAAACGTTAAATAAAAAGAAATGAATATGGTTCTTTATTTATGTTCAAGGTCAGAATTGTAAACATTTTTTTTCCTCTGATAGCGTTTCTAGTATGATTTACATCCGTCTTTCTATTGATATTTTTAAAGTTTAATTTCACTTCATAAATAGCTGAGTTATATATTTTTTTAACATCGTACAGGGACAACGTGGACTCAAGAAATGGTCTGGTTACTATTGAATGACTTAGACTACGCCAAGGCGGCCTCACTTAATCTTGTCGACAGATACATAAATGTTGGGTGAGTAGGGCAATAAACACTTCTTTCTGTAGCAACTTTTATGTTATATAAAATAAATCTATGTCGATACATTCAAATGGATTTACAAATCAAAAAAATACTATTATCACTATTCTTTATTTATTGTGTATTTTTTCTTTTTTAGCTTATAATGTGTATGTGTGCGCGCATGTCTGTGTGTGTGCGCGCGTGTGTGTGTGTGTGTGTGTGTGTGTGTGTGTGTGTGTGTGTGTGTGTGTGTGTGTGTGTGTGTGTGTGTGTGTGTGTGTGTGTGTGTGTGTGTGTGTGTGTGTGTGCGCGTGTGGGTGTGTCTGTGTGTTTGTTAATATTTTTTGTTTTAATTTATGATATTTAAATGGTAATTTTAATAATATTTCAATGAGTCTATGTACACAAACGGACTGGTTTCTGTAATAAATGAATTTAGTTTATAAATAATTAAAAAATAAGTGTTAACGAAAGTTAATCTGAAATTAATGTTTCCAGAATCTCGATCTGGGGTCTAGCATCCAGAGCAAAAGGTGCCAAAATATTAAAATTTAAAGAAGAAGACAAGCGTAAATACAAACAAATAATAACGCCCGGTTGTGAGCTGCTAGCGGCAGCAAGTGACCCTCGCTTCATTAAAACCCATCTTCCAATGTGTATGCTGCCTCCTAATCTCATAGAAACAGCCAAAATAGTATACGTAGCAAGAGATCCACGAGACGTTGTAGTCTCACTGTATCATTTTTACCGTCTTATGCCTGTGCCGCAGTTTACAGGGGACTTCAAAACTTTTTGGAACATGTTCGTCCGCGATAACGGTAATTTTGTTTTTTTGGTTATTTATTTGTCCTTGAAATCAGTCTGACAAAATTATATGCATGGGGCATGAGAGTGTTGTTGCCTGTAGTGGTAATAAAGTTAAAGTTAATATCCTGTAGTCGTTTGGTGCTTGCTGAAATGCTGAGCACTGACGCAGACACCAAGGTGGGCTTGACCTTTGACACAACAAAATGTCGAGCCTTGCAATTGGCAGTTGTGACACTATCCTGAAGTAATACGCCTATGGGGGGTTTTAAAAATGACCCTGGATAGGTCGCAAACAATTTTTAGATATCTTTGCCTTCAGTGCGGCTCTAAGGGCGACGAGAAACATACACGTATACGTCCCTTGGCCCTTGACATCGGATAAACCAAAATAACCTTATCGGAAAAGATCGATCATGACAACGAGTTCAACGTTGAATTCACCAAGAAGTGTTGGTTCTAATAGTCGCCAGACACGAGTGCGTAAAGTTCACGTCCCGCCCAATATTAACAGCTCGCGAGCATGATCTTACAGTGGGCGCGACGGAAGACGCGGTCCACCTGCAAGCGGGTGCTGGCCTAGATAAAAGCAAAGCGCAACCTAGGCACGGGCGTTGGAGTCAATGGCGTAGGGCACGTAAAATGGATCTGCTACCATGTAAGCAGCAAATTTCTGTGGCCAGCTGCGAGTATCGACCCCTTATAAGTCCGCAAAAGCTGCGAAGAGGTCCATGGTACCTGGGGGAGGCTGCCTTACCTTAGGCGAGAACGCTAAAAGAACGCTTTTGCTGTTAAAAATAGCAACGTAATGTGATAGCCGTGACGGTAACGGTGGGGAATTATCTTGAAACCCGCTCAAACAAAGCTCAAATAATAAATTAAGTCTGCGAAGGATCCCAAGTGGTCGAGGGATCCGACAGAACACACATGCACGCGGTGATTGGTGCAATTGGAATGATCCAATTTTTTTTATGATACCTATAGTGACGTGTAAAATAGGGAAGTTTGTTTGTAAAAACTTATCACTGTAGTATTCTTCGATCTCGCTTTTTTTATGATTATAATCCTAAACTTTTAATAACCATTTAAGTTCAATGTTCAAAAAGTTTTATTTTTGTAGGGTTTTGAAAGCTACATTTGATTATATATTGTAGTTACTTTGCAGCTGCAGAACTCCGTTAGGCCACATCTCCTTCATAGTGAAACTCAAAAGCGAACACGTGTTATATCAGTAAAGGTGTTTGACGCAATTGGATAAAGTTTTTTTTTTATTGCTTAGGTGGGTGGACGAGCTTACAGCCCACCTGGTGTTAAGTGGTTACTGGAGCCCATAGACATCTACAACGTAAATGCGCCTTCACCTTGAGATATAAGTTCTAAGGTCTCACGTATAGTTACGACGGCTGCCCCACCCTTCAAACCGAAACGCATTACTGCTTCACGGCAGAAAGAGGCAGGGTGATGGTACCTACCCGTGCGGACTCCCAAGAGATCCTACCACCAGTAATTACGCAAATTATAATTTTGCTGGTTTCATTTTTATTACACGATGTTATTCCTTCACCGTGGAAATCAATCGTGAACATTTGTTGAGTACGTATTTCATTAGAAAAATTGGTGCCCGCCTGAAATTCGGACACCGGCGCATCGTTCAACACAAATGCACCGGACGTCTTATCCGTTAGGCCACGACGAAAGTTGTCGTTAACCAACTAAACTATTGGCGTATTATTAAGAACACGAACGATATCAAACAAACTTGTAATTTAAATAAAATATATTTACATACCATATATTTAAAAAATACATTAACATATATTTACAGTACACATAATATCAAATCAAATATTATTAGGTAATTACGTCAAACGAAATACTAAAGATAGCTATTCCATCATAAAATAAAATGTAAAAAATTATTTTCAGTCATCAGAACACCTTATTTCGCACACATAAAAGAGGCATGGGAATTGAGAAATCATCCAAACATGCTATTCCTGTTCTACGAGGAACTTAAAAATGTTAGTATTTTGAGAAATGTATTTTATTTGAATTTAACATATATTATGTACATTATGTACATTATGTTTAGGAACTGTTCTCAAAAACAAATACAAGTGTACAATCTATGTATTACTTTATTAGGTATCATCATCCGTAATAAAATCTATATACACACATACTAATAATAGGGGTTAAAGTATGAAATTGCCGTTTTATTGTAATACTCGTAGGTAGGTACTTTGAGTTGACATAGAACCTTCATGATTTGAGATTTTTGAGTGAAACTGTTTTCAAATGGTACCTATAAGGTTCTACTTTTAAAAAATGTCCAACATTCGATTATCGACTATCAGTTGTTTTTTTTTATTCAGCTTAGACAAGACAGCTGGATACTTCGAAATTCGAGTGATTTTTGAATACGAGTTCCGATGCGAAACTAACGCTGCAGAACCAGCTCGCAATATCAATGTTTTGTTTGGAGAGGGGATTGCTAATGAACGCAGCGTGCGATTTTGGTTTAAACGCTTTCGTGATGGAAATTTTGATTTGAAGAACGAACCACGTGGAAGACGGGCGTGACACATGTGAATAACAATAAATTGAAAGAGATGGTGGAAGCTGATCCGAGCCAAACTACCCAGGAATTAGCGGCATGGTTTATCGTTACCTTACCAACAATATTGACTGCTTTGCGTCAAATCAATAAAATGAAAAATATGAAAAATGGGAGCCTCATGATTTGACTGATCTGCAGAAAGAAACGCGTGTTGAAACTTGTGTTGACTCGTTGAATCGATACAGAAATGCAGGAATATTGGATCGAATTGTTACGTGTGATGAAAACTGGATTCTTTACGATAACCGTAAGCGACAAATGCAATGGGTGATCCCAGGTCAAACCCCGCAACAGTGTCCTGAAGCAAAACTTACCAATAAAAAGGTAATGGTAACTGTTTGGTGGTCTCAACATGGTGTTATTCACTATAGCTTTCTCCGATCTGGTCAAGCAATTACGGCAGATGCCTACTGTGCCGAACTCCGAATAATGATAGCAAGTGAAACTTGCAGTGAAACAGCCTCAACTCATGAATCAATCTTCAACATTATTGCTCCATGATAACGCGAGACCTTATTCAGCACAAGAAACCGTTTTAACTTCTACAGGAACTGCAATTAGAAACCATACGTTACCCTCCGAATTCGCCAGACCTTGCTCCAACGGACTACTATTTTTTTCGTGATTTGACAATTTTCTACGTGATAAAAAGTTTCCTCCCCCGGAGTTAGTACAAAATGCTTTCACACAGTTTGTATAATCTAGATCTAGACCAGAGTTCTATCGCAATGGCATAAATGACCTTCCTATTAGATGGCTGCAATGTATAAATAGATAATGGTAGATATTTTGATTAAATAAATATGTTAAATGGAAAAAAAAACGAATTTATTGTACAAATCGGCAACTTCATACTTTAGCCCCTAAAGTGAAAGTATGTTCATTTGTTTGTTTGTTGGTGGGTTTGTTTGTTCTTCTTTCACGTCGAAGCCTTTGTTTGCGTCGAAACAGATTGACATGATTTTTTATCGATAACGGTAACTACCTTAAAATGATACCTTTCCTTGACCACGCAGACAAAGCCACGGGTAACAGTTAATAATAATTAAATCGAACAAAACAAACAAATCTTATTACATGTGGTCAATGGTGAAGTTAAATTGTTTTTTGCCTTATTTGTTTGGGGTTAACAAGACAATGTTTTTTTTAAATTTTCGTTAATGTAGATAGTTTATTATTAAACCCGTTTCCACTTCGAGAATTCGTCATTTACGACATAATAATATGTACACATTAAACATATTTGTGATAATTAAAATAAATCAAGAACCTTGGCATATAGATTAAAACACTAATTTAATTTTATATCACCAAATTTTTATTAACTAAAAACTTTGCACTAATCGAAAAATATTGTACATACATTTTTAAATAATATAATACATTACGTCCGCAGGATCTTTCCAATACAATAAAACGCACTGCAAAATTTTTCAACAAAGAATACACAGATGAACAAATCTCAGTGCTGTGCAATCATCTTAATATAAATAATTTCAGACATAACGACTCAGTAAGCTTGAACTTCTTAGCAGATGTGTTTATACCAGGAGAAGAACCATTTATAAGAAAAGGTAATAATTCTCTATGATAAAAATAAATAATAAAAGATTTAGTCAAGGGTCTTCTAGTGTTTATTGGGGCCCGAAGTATGTAGACATTGTACGATAGCTCAGTTTTTATTTCATTCTAAAGCTTTTAAGAAATACGGATCTGCTGCTGATAATTTCACACACTACGGTAACGCGTAGCGCTATTGTCGCGCTCAGTTGATCGCGCAAGTAACGGGCAAGTTGGTCGTAGATTTCAAAATTTAAACTCCAAAATCGACCAGACATTTACGACATTGATAATAGAGCTCTAAGTGTTAGTATTTTGAACAAATAATGCCCTACCCTTCAAACCCTAAGGCGTTACTGCTTCGCGGGCTCATAAAACGTCTTATTAGTAAGATACTTTTTTAACTAGGCCAGTATATAAAAAAAATCGAATAGTAAATTTTTTGGTGGTGATTATTACAATCCAAAACCATAAGTTGAATGTGCGAACATGTCTTTTCACCCGAAAAGCATTCATACTTAACAGTTGGTGCTGTAAAGTAAGGTGGGTAGTGACATTCATCAGATATTGTTATCACCAAGCTATGCAATAAAAAACATTGATTGCACGTTTAGTGCGTCCATATTTTTATTTCAATGAACTAAAGTCGTTGGCCCTATGACTTACGTTCCTATTTCTTAGCAGCTTTTGACAATATTAAAATACTGGAAATTTAAATTAAATAGTAATTAGAAAATTCATCACAAGTAGATAAAATTGCATATTTTTAGTATTTATTTGTAACTATACCTGAGACCTTAGAACTTATATCTCAAGGTGGGTGGCGCATTTACGTCGTGGATGTCTATGGGCTCCAATAACCACTTAACACCAGGTAGGCTGTGAGTTCGTCCAACCATATAAGCAATAAATAAAAAAACCTATGTAAGCCTATCTTAAATTGCCTTTATTTTTCACATGTGTATATAAATATATATTTTTATGTAAGTTTATTAAGATATAGCACCGTCTATGCTATTTTGCTTAATCCTCTTCCTGCAAGGTTGCCTGGAAGAGAGAAATAAAGAGTTATATTATTATTATTATTAAACAGCCCCTAAACGAAAAACTGTACTCCAAATTGAACAGGAAAAGTTGGCGGCTGGCGAGATTACTTCGATGACGAGATGACCGTGGAATGCGAACAATGGATGGCCAAAAAACTGAAGGAAACTGGTATTCGGTTTCCGGTTTTCAGTAATGATGTAACCAAGAAATGAATCACTAAAATTTTCTTATCGATTCTGTTACTTTTTATTTATAAATAAACAAGTAAAGAAATCTTATTCACTCCTGAATTATTTTGTTGTCTTTTCCCGTACCAAAAATTTTAAGCGAATATGCATTTGCGATAAACAGCTTCCTTCCTGCTGAATGCTGTTATTATTACTGCAGAAATAGAACTTATGATTGTGCGATGTATTTTTATATAATTTGGTTATTGTGGCATTGTGAGATTCTGTGGTCTATTTCATGTGATCGAAAGTAAAAAAGAAAGCCGCTTCTAGATGTTTCCTTCGTTTTAAATAAATTTTATTCCAACGAGCCATAGAATATGCCACTAGTTTTGTCGCCCATGTGTACGCACGAAGAATACGCACCATCGAATCGTTAATAATGAACGTCCTACTGATTCCCGTTGTCGTTAGCAAACGTTGTCGTCAGCAAACTGAAGATTTACAGAGGATATCTTCAGAACAAGAAAAGTTTCACCAATTTTGCGGTATTTGGTTTTACCGCTAGAATTGATTACAAACCTCCTCACTATGACAGGACAAATATGCGTGAAAAAGACTGAACAACGACCAAGACGAGTTAAAGTCAAATTAATTTATGTGCGAAATGATAACAATCTTCCCCATCAATATAATCTTTGAGATGTATTATTCACACAAAGCCAAAAAATATAGCATTTTGAAAATGATCGATGTAGAACATGCAGCTAGCTATATGTTTTCATACTCGTGTTCTCGTTTCTAATATGTAGATTTAAAGCTCAATGACATGAAAGTTATTTCTTGACAGAACGGCTTATGTTCAATATTGTACCAGGTTCGATATTTATGAGTAAGTAGATAAACCCAATCAACCTAGTGCATAGAATGTATTACATTTTAGTTCTCGCAACAATTGTATGATACTTGATACTTTTTTGAAGTGAAACTTCGTTCTTTTTTTCCCTATCTATGCTGATAGCCTTGAGAGGCTATATCAACATTACCCTAGCGTGTAGGTAAGCTTTCAGGGCTTAAGCCGGAGGTGTTGCTAACACTGGCCCTAGCAAGACCAGTGTTCCGCAGAATCTACCACCGGATCGTATCGCGACCCACTGAGAAGATCCGGCGAGAAACTCAGCGGGCTACGTCTATGGGTTAATTTACTCGCCGAGCCTTTCGTCGCAAACGACAGGTTCGGCGAGGATAGTAACCGGTATGCTTGAGGTATCTAAAAGCACCGTTAATGGACCGGGAGGTTCCGTAATGACGTGCTTAGGGCGACGTCGGCTGTTCACCGTTCGGTCCACAGGATCGGGTATGTTATTTCCGGCGGCCACGACAAAAGGGTTTCGCCTTCTCAAAGTGGCGCAATGATGCCGACTGTATACAATTACTGATTGAATCAAGCTCCAGGTCATCATGGAGATCCACATTCCTTAGAAACCATGGTGCTCCGGCTATCCTGCAAAAACGGAATTGAATCACTTGAAGGGGTTTCAAGTTAGTGCGGGCCACGTGAGCGAACACTACACTTACATAGCTCATGACCGGACGTATGCAAGAGTGTCACCTTATTACGAAGAGACAATTCACTTCGCTTCCAAATCGTGGGATAGAAGCGTCCTAGTATAAGGGGGCACGGTCACGTACCATTTTAATGTGGGGTAGGAATGTCATTCCTCTGTCGAGATTGACGCCTAGATATTTGACCTTTGAGGCTCACGGTATTGCCTGGCCAAAAAAAGTGATGGGGCGAATGGCGGAGGTGTTAACGCGCCTATTAGGGAGTGGGCTGCTCGAAGTGGTATTCGGAGGGCGACCCCTTTTAAAGAGCACCGCTGTGCTTTTCGTGGGGTTGATGTCAATGCGCCACTCCCGGAACCACTGTCCCATGGTGGCTGCTGCGATCTGGATGCGTCTATGCAATAGCGACATCTTCCTACACGAGTAGTAGATAGCTGTGTCATCGGCGAAGAGCGCTAGATAAGTCTCTGGAGACCGGGGTATATCATTATAACATATACAAACTAAATAATAACGGGGAGAGCACGGAGCCTTGCGGGACTACAGCCGTCAGATGAGGGGATGAAACTTCTAATACGACTTCCAAAAGGTTGCGTTTTTTTTATTGCTTAGATGTGTGGACGAGCTCACAGCCCACCTAGTGCTAAGTGGTTACTGGAGCCCATTGACATCTACAACGTAAATGCGCCACACACCTTGAGATATAAGTTCTGAGGTCTCAGTATAGTTACAGCGGCTTCTCCACCCTTCAAACCGAAACGCATTATTGTTTCACGGCAAAAATAGGCAGGGTGGTGATACCTACCCGTGCGGAATCACAAGAGGTCCTACCACCAGTAATTACGCAAATTATAATTTTGCGGGTTTGATTTTTATTACACGATGTTATTTCTTCACCGTGGAAGTCAATCGTGAACATTTGTTAAGTACGTATTTCATTAGAAAAATTGGTACCCGCCTGCGGGGTTCGAACACCGGTGCATCGCTAGATACGAATGCACCAGACGTCTTATCTTTTAGGCCACGACGACTTAATTAACGACAACAACACGCGTTAAACGTTTAACGCTACCGTACTAGAAAGTGACAGAGCGAGAGTGAATGCGTGGCATTTGACCGCATGCACGTAGTATACCTATTAGAGCTGTTGCAGGCCAGCGCCAGCGTTAGCAACGAGTAGCGTCCAATATTTAAATATATATATATATATTTTTTATAGCTTAGATGGATGGACGAGCTCACAGCCCACCTGGTGTTAAGTGGTTACTGGAGCCCATAGACATCTACAACGTAAATGCGCCACCCACCTCGAGATATAAGCTCTAAGATCTCAAGTATAGTTACAACGGCTACCCCACCCTTCGAACCGAAACGCATTACTGCTTCACGGCGGAAATAGGCGGGGTGGTGGTACCTACCCGTGCGGACTCCCAAGAGGTCCTACCACCAGTGAAATGAAGTATTTAAATATATATATTTATTTTTCTATCTATAATTTAAAATATATATAATATAAAAGTTGAAGATTTCGCATCTCTTATACACAGCACTGCCTATTACAAGAGCAATCTGATTTAAGGAGGAAAAATGAAGAAAATCACAATAGTACACATCGAAAAAGAAGTTTCAGTTCATTGACGTATACCAAGTTGCACGCGCACCATTTTTGTTTATTTAGGTGTACACACAATTTAATGTAACTGCTAGACACAATAAAACACAACCATGACATAATTTAAAAATACACATACGGGTAAAATTACCTTTATTTCTTTTCGCATTTCAAAATTCCTCCAACTCCTTTTTTTAATGTGCGATATCTACAACGGCGATACTTTTTCGAAGTTTCATTCGCTACATACGTGGCCCAGCAATATTATTTGCGCTGCGATGGTGCGTGGCAAAAAAGACCTCTGGAAACGCACTGTCGATGAACGCAGCGGTTCCAGATAATATGCATGAACTCTGCTCCGATGGCGGGAGGTGCGATGATAAAAAGGAGATGAGGGGATCATCTCAAACAATTCCTCAGAGCACTCCCCATGGAACATACGGTACAAAATACAGCGAGAACTGAAGTCCCTCCGTAGACCCAGAGGTTCCAAACGATCCGTGAGGATGGGATTATCGATAATCCGAACGGCCCTCTTCTGTATGGAGTCAAATGGAAGAAGCTGGTATTTGGGAGCCCCGGCACAGAGATGGGAGCAGTACTACACGCGAGGCCGGACTTGTGCTTTATAAAGCAAAAATCTTTGTCCAGGCGTGAAGCACCGCTTCGCTCTGTTGAGGACTCGCAGCATTTTGGACGCCAGCTTGGCTTTGCCTTCCAAATGACTTCGAAATTGGACATCGCTCAAAATGTCGACCCCAAGTATCCCGATACTCCCGGAAGGTTGAAGGGATACTCCTTGGAATTGTGGCGCCATGACAAAGGGGTCCTTCTTCGCAGTGAACGCGCAAACCTGTGTCTTCGACGAGTTAAATTGAACGAAGTTCAATTTACCCCATTCGGAGACTCGCCCCAGAGAGCTCTCCACTTCAGACACAAGTTTTGATCGTCTCTCTTGCACCACGCTCCGAGAGAGACTCTGATGGCCGATATATCGCGCATCCCCCATGCTGTCATCCGCATAGCAACGCATGTCATCAATAGACAACATGTCATTGATATAAAGGATGAAAAGCGTGGGGGAGAGCACCGAACCTTGTGGATTGCCAGCGTTAATGGTCATGGTATCAGAGCAGTCACCATCTAAAACGACCGTGATGCTCCGCCCATCCAAAAAGCTAGCGATCCACTTGCAGAGTCCCTCGGAGATTCCGTAAGATGGTAGCTTCGACAGAAGTGCCCTATGCCAGACCCTTTCGAAGGCCTTCGCGATATCAAGGCTCACAGCAATAGCCTCGCCCTTGCTCTCCAAGGCTTCAGCCCACCTGTGAGTAAGGTATACAAGAAGATCGCCAGTTGAGCGACCGTAACGGGAACCGTACTGTCGGTCACTGATCATCTGGCGATCTTCAAGATACTTCAGGAGTTGTGTATTTATTATTCGCTCCATCACCTTGGAAAGCAAGGAAGTTATCGCGATAGGCCTATAGCTCTATGGGTCCGACCGGTCACCCTTCTTAGGGATAGGGTGGACGTGGGCGGTCTTCCATGAAGACGGAACCCTGTTAGTGCAATAAGAGAGGCGATACAAAAGCGTTAGCGCACATGTCAGCTCAGCGGCGCACCTAAAACCCTAAAAATTATAATGTCCATAATTAATATACGATTGCGACATAGACTTACAAGTGCTCTGGGTAGTGGGGCTTAAATAGGATGGTAAAAAAACAGAATTGAAAACAACGCACTACAAACCATGATCAGAAGAAGTCAAAACCTCCTCATCGGCACTAAGGTGTTGAAATATTATGTATAAAATAAGATATTCAATGAATATAAATTAATCGTACAAATTATTGGAATCCTTAAATTATTTGAGTAAATATGAAAATGGATTTTAACTATGTTAGCAAAATGAATATTAAAGAGAGTGAGTAAATTAAAATATTTTAACAATAATAAATTTAAAGGTTTGTATATTATATACACATTTTATTGTGTCTGCCGCTCACCTGTTTAATTTAAAATTATTCGACAGTGCGAGACTGATATAAGGCAGCTTTTTTTTTTCTACCTACGCTAATATCCTCGTGAGGCTATTTCAGCGTAACCTTAACTAGTAGATGAGCTCACGGGGCTCAAACCGGAGTGATGCTAACACTGACCCTAGCAAGAACAGTACTTCGCAGAATCTACCACCGGATCGGAAACGCGACCCACTGAGAAGATCCGGCGAGAAACTCAGTGAACAGAAGGCAGCAATGAACCAACGAACACACCAACATTAGATTAAATAGAAATTTATTGAAGACATTCAATATTCATGATTTATGTCTAGATACTACACTCACAATGATACTTCACCTAGTTCTGTTTACCGCTGTTAAGAGAGCATCGCAGACTGTGAGCCCAAAGTAAACGAATTCTTGGGTCATTGGTTTTATTTTTATTTTTTTTTATTGCTAAGATGGGTGGACGAGCTCACAGCCCACCTGGTGTTAAGTGGTTACTGGAGCCCATAGACATCTACAACGTAAATGCGCCACCCACCTTGAGATATAAGTTCTAAGGTCTCAGTATAGTTACAACGGCTACCCCACCCTTCGAACCGAAACGCATTACTGCTTCACGGCGGAAATAGGCGGGGTGGTGGTGGTACCTACCCGTGCGGACTCCCAAGAGGTCCTACCACCAGTGATTACGCAAATTATAATTTTGCGGGTTTCATTTTTATTACACGATGTTATTCCTTCACCGTGGAAGTCAATCGTGAACATTTGTTGAGTACGTATTTCATTAGAAAAATTGGTACCCGCCTGCGGGATTCGAACACTGGTGCATCGCTACACACGAATGCACCGGACGTCTTATCCTTTAGGCCACGACGACTTCTGAAAAGTCGGCCCATTTGAATGGGTCAGTGAATTTTACGCTACTAGTTCTGTCTATCATCATTCTTGTCTTAGATTCATTGATAGACATCCTTTAGCTTTCGTTTAGCTTCCAGTGCAATTAGAGCCGTGGCATCATCAGCATTGCGGAATTTGTTCATTTTCTCACATCTTTAATGCATCCGTCTCCTGTATGGTCCCAGGCTTGATGTAAGCTTCCGAGGTGGCGGTGTGAGCTTTGCATTCGCAACACTTTGATGTCCTAGATCGGCCTTCGATTTCCCAATCGTCAGGAATACTGGTGGTTAGCGATAAAAAATATCAAAAAACAAAATTTTAACCTCTTTGTGCGAACATATTTTAACTATGTTAAAACATAAAATATCTCTGTATAAAATATTCCGACCCCCTTACAACGATGATGAAGACCGACATGGTGTGTTAGATCGGTGAAGTCCGACATTTCCCTTTCATTTTCTGAAAATTCATCTGCATCCTCCTAAAGTTTATTTTTTTATGGCTTATTTGGGTTGACGAGCTCACAACCCACCTGGTGTTAAGTGGTTTTTGGAGCCCATAGACAACTACAACGTAAATGTGCCCTCCACCTTGAGATATAAGTTCTAAGGGCTCAGAATAGTTACAACGACTGCCCCACCCTTCAAACCGAAACGCATTACTTCCTATTTATCAGGAAGGATACAAACAGTAGATGTGAAAGGTAATAGATCTTCAGGCACCACGTTGAAAATGGGTGTACCTCAGGGTTCCGTTTTGGGTCCTTTTTTATTTCTAATATATATAAACGATTTGCCTAGTTTTATTGAGTCCCGACACGAGGTCGTATTATTCGCAGATGATACATCTTTATTATTTAAAATTAAACGACAAAGTCTATGACGAAGTGAATGATGCGATTTCGTGTGGGGTTCATTGGTTCCGTATCAATAACCTATTATTGAATAGTAAGAAAACTAAATGTATTAAATTTGCTTTAAAATGTATTAAATCATCTTTAAATGTGAGACAAGTAGATAGTAATGTAATTGTTTCTGAGGAATCATTGGAGCTTGTTGAGTCAACCGTATTTTTTGGTATAACAGTGGACTCCAAACTGCAGTGGGGACCTCATATTCATAAATTGGCGAGTAAGCTCAGCTCTGCAGCATACGCAGTAAAAAAAATTAGAATGTTAACAAATGCGGACACGGCTCGTTTAGTTTACTTTAGTTACTTCCACAGTGTCATGTCCTATGGCATTTTGCTATGGGGCAATGCGGCCGATGTAGAAATGATATTTATTCTGCAGAAAAGAGCTATACGTGCTATTTATAACATGCACTCAAGGGAATCNCAACTTGCTCTGAAATATGGTTTTCTTGATTCTGCTGTACCTTATTACCAATACCAACCTCAACCAGTTCTTGATAATGGTCATGTTACGCTCTACTGGGACCGATCTATTATCACGGATAGGTATATTGTTGCCAATAAACCTGATATTGTGATAATAGATCGATCTGCGCGTCGAGCAGTGTTGGTTGATGTCACCATTCCTCATGACGAGAACCTCGTGAAGGCAGAAAAGGACAAATTAATAAAATATTTAGACCTGGCCCACGAGACTACCGCCATGTGGCATGTTGATTCAACCATCATTGTTCCAATAGTTGTATCGGTACACGGCTTGATAGCGAAAAGTTTCGATCAACATCTTAAGAAACTTTCGTTATCCAGCTGGGTTAAGGGCCTAATACAGAAAGCAGTTATCCTCGATACTGCACGCATTGTGAGGAGGTTTCTCACTCTGGAGTCCTAACCACTGGTGGCTTGTGTCGTAGACACCGCCATCAGCGGCAATCTATTTTTATATAGTGTTTTTTAAAAATTGTATTTTTAATATCTTTTTTAAAAAATATTATGTAACTAATAAGATTTTAAATAAATGTAAATAATAATAATAATGCTTTTATTATTTTAAACATTTTAATTTTATTATTTCAAACATTTATCAAACATTTTACATTTTAACTAACAATTTAAAGTAGACTAAGAAACCAATAATTAATATATGTATCAGCTTTTGCCCGCGACTTCGTCCGCGTGGAATAGTTACTTTAGCATAACGCTAAATTTTACCCGCCTCTTCATTTACGCAGAAAGTGAAAATATTTTTGAATAATAGAATGTTAAAGAGTTATTTAAGGTACCAAAATCACGCTTTTAACCGACTTCAAAAGAGGAAGCTATCAATTCGACCATAAGTTTTTATCTATGTATGTTCACCGTTGTCTCGAGAATGTTTGAACCGATTCTGATAATTCTTTTTTTTTTGTTCGAAAAAATAGATAGATCGGGTAAATAGATAGACTTCCCGAATGGTCCTGTTTACATCAAGATCTAATTATGGAACCTTGGAGAAATCCAGAAAAATCTATAATTGTCAAAGCCTATCTTGAAGTGATTTAGGTGCTTCAATGTTGTAATGAATAACGTATTTATTTGGATAGAGATTAATATTATCTTTATAAAAACACCTTCACAAATAATGCTTTATTTTAGAACAAATTTGTTTAACATAAAAAACGTTATAGTGAGCCAACCTTAATATATAGACATAATTATGCTGTCGCGGACTTTATCTAGATCTTTTAAAGGGGAACAATTCTGTCATACATTATTTTAGGGAAACTATAATCGTTTCTGCAGCGCACGCAGCGGAAGTTCTCAAAGGGTAAAAATAGCCTCGATTTTGAAACATTCTTTATTGGTGCTCCGCTTGTATTGGTCTTAGCGTGATGGCATATATCTTAGCCTAGCTTCCTCGGTAAATGGGCTATCTAACATTGAAACAAATTGGACCAGTAGTTCCTGAGATTAGCGCGTTCAAATAACCCAACCCTTCAAGCTTTATAATATTAAAAAAAAATATAGTATAGATATAAACATAAATTACGAAAGTAAAATCTAAATTTATATTAAAAATGCCTTTCGTCTCGGTGTGCCTTTCGGCAAAGACTTCGTGCAACTCTTTCCACTGCTTTCTATCTGCTGCTACTCTTATCCTAGGGGATCCAGGACTAATTTTGAGTTCATCCTACCGTCTACTTGGTTTGCGACGTCGGCTTCTCAAGCCATCCTTTGCTAACAGGTGACATTTCTGCTTTTCACAGCGGAGCAGCATAAATGCTATCCATCTCCATTTAAGTTGATCAATAGATGACACGATGTCTGTTAATTTGGTTTTGCACCTGATATCTACACTTCTAACTTTGTCCATTAATTTCAAGCCTTGCATGCTCATATATCATATTTAGGTTTCCCAAAAAAAACAATCATGTTCTTACTTACTTACTTACACAGTTCATTATTAAGTTGTAAAATAAAACTAATACAAAATAAAAATTATCAGCTTAGGTTGCTGCTCCAAAATCTACGCAACTAGAAACCATGGCTCTTAGCAAAAAATGTCCTGAAATACGCGAAGCCGGCGAGGAAGAATCCGGTCAGCTTCGGAGGCTTTTCAAAACATTGGGTAATAATTCATAACATCTGTTTATTTGATGTACATAATATTATGCTGTGCCTCATCAATGAAACAAGAAAATTCAAACCACATACATTGTACTGATTACTGATTTAAATGTTTTGTTTTTCTAGATTACAATTAAACAGATCAAATTTGTAGCCCGATGGCACCTGCTTAATAAGGCTGAATGCTGTGTGGTCTGGTTATTATGAAAGGCAATTATATGATTCACCGAGAAATAGGTAGAGAGTATTATGCCGTTCCCTGAGTATTATGCCAGCATACTACGGGCCATTATCATTATTATCGGCTTGTATCTCTGTACTGCTGAATGTAGGCCTCTCCTATAGTCCGCCACAATTAACGATTCTCCGCCTTAGTTTTAGTCCACCAGGGAGGGGGATGCCCGACGCTGCGCTTACCGGTACATGGTCTCTAGCCCAGTACACGCCTGCTCGGACGGCCATCGGTTCTGCGACACATATGTCTAGTCCACTAGTACTTCAGCTTACATCTTTAAGTCACACATGTTTAGGGCTATGTTAGTTACTTTGGTTCTTCTTTTCTTTATTCGATCTAATTCGATCCATCAAAGAAACTCCGAGCATGCCCCTTTCTCTGGTACGCTGAGCGAATTTGAACTTACAGACCAGACCTATGGTCAATGTGCACGTTTCAGTGCCATATGTTATGACCGATGATAACGAAGAATGCACTCATCAAGAAAAACCCCTGAGACTCGTTTGGGGATAAGCGACGAAAGGGAAGATCTTCCACCGAGCGGGTGATATTGCTCGGTAGACCGACGGTCCGAATGTTGTTGTTCGGAACTTGTATATATGCGCTTTATCTTGAAAATGTCGTAAGCGAGATTCAGGCATCTGTCAATTATCTTGCGTTGTATGATGGCTACCCGCCACACTCGCGAAAATTTAACAGCATTTGCCCTCTGGCATTTCTAGAGCCAACACCATAAGGACCGAATAGTAGTTCTCCACACTATTGAACTCTTACTTTCGAATTAAAGTCCCGCATCATTATAGTCTAATAAATCTTGGTGGTGCGTTCGATGTCTTTTAGGATATCTTCGTAAAAGATTCCGCAAACTCCTTTGTTGTCGATGAGGCAACGTATCCTTGCACAACTTTTTCAAGGATACGTGTATCGGCACACACTACTGACTTCCGGAATGTTGATGACAAGGGATTTGTGGTAAAAGAAACCAACGCCCCTCTGCGAGAACTGTTCTGTTTCCTATAGAAGAGCATGTTTCCTGAGCCTAGGATTCAGCTCGTTATATTTTACCACATCTATATACCTAAAATTTATTTATAGATTAGAAGAGGAGGTTCTCAATTCGAAACGCAAATCACCATAACTAGTAACTACACTTCTAAATATGAAAAAAGTGATCCTTAACGTACGAGGGACTTAATTTGATGATTAACACGATTTCTGGTGTAGTAAATGTTATTTACAGTTAAAATCAGTTCAGCCAACTAGTTCGCAGAAGAAGGTACCAGGACATTAGATTGAAAATCTGCCTCCACACCGATCTACCACCACTTGTTTTTAAATTTTGTCCCAGATAATAAAGCACATAATGAAACTTTTGTAGTTTGTATTTATTGTTTGGGTGCAATAGTAAATTATTTTGAAAATTGATCATTTTTAAATATTATGTGATCTCAAAATCTATAAATTATTCCCGCCTAAGACTTCTTTGACTAATTTGTCTTTAACATTTTAGAAGATTGCCCCGGATTCATTCGTGTTGGACCAGCAGGATATCTGTTTTCGGTAAAATTTGAACCAGAAATAGAAAACATATACAACATAGAAGTGAGACCTACGGACACTTTCATCGTCACATTTCCAAGATCAGGTATCAACATTTCTTTTATACAATGTATTTCTTTATCGTAGAACTCTTTCGTGAATATAACAGATGAAGAATTTCATAAAAAAAATTGGTGCCTGGGGGCTTCGCACACTTGGCATATTAGCAATAAAAATAAAAATACACCGGGTGTCACATCCTTCAGGCTGTGACAACTCCAAAATTGTACAAGATGAACGATCGATAATTTAAAGGAAAAAAAACATGTCTAAGAGATATTTACATGTATTATGTGTGTCAATGAGTATTTATTTATCTGTGGTGAGATCGAAAATTTGTTTGAAATTTAAGTTATAGATGAGACTGAAGAGAACTGTAGAAGAGATTAATACTGTTTCGTATACTGCTGGGCCGAGATGTTAAAAAGCCACATTTTCCTTTTTTATATCCCACGTATGGATGTCACACTTCACGTAACACTAAGCCAGTGCTAGGTGGACTACAGATTCAGTAGAAACTAAATTATAAAGGAACAATATATGTAGTTTAGTTTACGAGCTGATTAATTAAAATACAATTTATTTACATAGTTCATTTAAATAACAATATACTTGCCAAATTATGCTTCATTATAATAGTTCAATATAAAGTTCAATTATGCTTCAATATAAAAATTATAATAAGTATATTTAAAATCGTCGTGGCCTAAAGGATAAGACGTCCGGTGCATTCATATCTAGCAATGCACCCGCAGGCGGGTACCAATTTTTCTAATGAAATATGTGCTTAACAAATACTCACGATCACTTCCACGGTGAAGGAATAATAACATCGTGTAATAAAAATCAAACCCGCAAAATTATATTTTTTTTATGTAATTACCGGTGGTAGGACCTCTTTTCAGGTAGGTACCACCACCCTGCCTATTTCTGCCGTGAAGCAGTAATGCGTTTCGGTTTGAAAGGTGGGGCAGGCGTTTGTAACTATACTGAGACCTTAGAACTTATATCTCAAGATGGGTGGCGCATTTACGGTGTAGATGTCTACGGGCTCCAGTAACCACATAACACCAGGTGGGCTGTCAGCTCGTCCATTTAATCAATAAAAAAAGGTAAAACTACATATGATTAGACGTATTACTTAAAACTGTAAAGATGATTGAAACGCATCAATAAATAAAGAATTCTTCCTTCTTAAAATATAACAACATTTATAAGTCTAAATGAAGATTAAGAGAAAGAGGTACTTACTCAATGATTTCGTATTGTCAATTTCCATTTGAGGTTAAACGAATTAGGGTATCGATTACCAAATCTAAAACACTATATACTTAGTCTGGCCATAAATACTGTTACAAAGGAAAAAAAATTCTATTGCAAATAACATTTATTTCTTTTACAGTGTGTTAGTTTAATACATAAATATAAAACAATTTAAAGTATAAAAAGCTTATTCGAAGTGGTCTCCATTGGCTGCAATACAGTCAGTCCTTTAAACGTTGAGGCCAGTTATCAATAGAAGCACGCACTCTTTCCATGGGAAAATTTTTCACTGCCAATCGTACGGATTGTTTTAGGGACTCCAAATTATCATGGCGTTTAGAACAAGCCGTACTCCCTAAAACTGACCACAAATCATAATCCAGCGGGTTAAGATCGGGACTAGACGACGGCCAGTCTTCAGCTCTGATGAAGTCCGAAACGTTCGTTTCCAACCAAGACTGCGTAGACCGAGCTTTATGACCTGGCGCCAAGTCTTGCTGGAAGGACCATTCTTGATTATTGAACATGGTGTTGTTAAGAGGCTTCACTACCTTCTCAAGAATGGTATCTTGATACACTTGTGCCGATGTTTTGATACCTTTTTCACAAAAGTATGGCTCAGTCACTCCTTCATAGCTAATACCCCACCAAACCATCACTGAAGTCGGATAGTACCCACGTTACACTCTGTCGACTAATTGGGAAGCTTCCTTAGAGCTTTGAGCATCAATACGGTCATTATGTTTATTTAAATGTTGCTCAATTGTAAAAAAATTCTCATCCGTAAACAAAAATTTTCTATGACCTCCCTTTGCGTACCGCTTCAGTAGTTGTTTCGATTTTACCACCCTATTCTCTTTTAAATTATCAGTTAAGAAATGACCAGTACATCTCTTATAGGCTGCAAGTCCTAAGTCATCTTTTAAAATATGCGACATGATTCTAGGTGCTAACTTCATCTCCCGAGATAAAACCTTTTGCGTTCGGACAGGATTTCTTCGTAATCTTTCCCTTACTGCTTTGACCACCTTTTTCGTACGAACACTACGTGGACGGCCAGATCTTTTTCTGTCACAAACAGAGGAGGTATCATTGCACCTTTTAATAGCCCGGTACACAAACATTTTACTAATACCAAGCGTATGGAGAGTTTTAAAAATTGCATTTGGCTCCATACCTACTTTGTGTAATGCAATCACAGCGATTCGGTTCTCTTTATCACCCCACTCTATTTTAATATCGCAAACTATTGTACAATGTATTGGTGCCAAAATGAGAAAACTCAATGAGCAATCATATAAAATGACAGATTCCAAATTCAAATGTAATATTTTGTTTATTTTTAATTGTAACAGTATTTATGGCAAGATTAAGTATGTATATCATGTATCACATTGACACAACAAACAATTTTTTCATTAAATCAAGGGATTTACTATATTATTTGTCATTTCACCACCGAGAATGGTTCTTAAATTATGCTGTTTCTTTATTTGTTTCTTAGCATATTGCTTCAGTTGATGTAGATAAATGTTGATGTTAATAGTAAACATTGTACAGGGACAACGTGGACTCAAGAAATTGTCTGGTTACTGTTGAATGACTTAGACTACGCTAAGGCAGCCTCGCTTCATATTGTCGAGAGATTCGTAAATATAGGGTAAGTAAAAGATTCACATAGTTAACCATCAATAGAAAAACTTAATTGTAATGTGCTATGGGATACGGTGGCCAATACAAAAAGTAGGTATAGTAACCGGCAAACATCGTGAGCAAATGACCTTGACTGCGCAGAACCGAATTTTAGATCACTTTGGTGGTGAGGGTGAGGCGCGACGGCAGGGGAAATCGTATCGAGCGCGTTGTTGGTAGATCAGTCGAACCTTGCGTCCCGCACCGCGCCTTCGTTCCGCTTGCTCCCAAAAGTACGCTTGCGTACAGTGAAAAGTCTATCGTTATTAATCGTTAAGTTATATTTTGTTATAATTGCTTGTTGACTTTGTTGCCATTGCTATTTGTTGAGTGTTTGTTGATTTTTTATAAAAAATACACTATGCCGCGACAAACTGGTGTAGTATTCAAAAGAAAGGGTAGAAAAATTGTGTACGACGTATATTGCTTCATTATAAAACAGGGGAAGAATGATATTATGGAAAAAGTAAAACAGACTTCGGAAGCAACAAAAACATCAGTGAGTACTGTTAGGTGCATTATTAACGAAGCTAAAGGCTCTGGCTTGCTCATCGTGCTTGGGACTCCGGGTAAGAAAAGATCAGGGAAGAAGAAAGTTACCGGAATGGATAGTTTCGTTCAATCTGTAATAAAAAGATGTAATCATAATAACTACATAACAGGCAGCGAAACTCCGTACCGTAAAAAGGCTTCGAAAATTTTAAAGAAGATATACATTTTAATGGCTCGGAATGAAGTTTACGACGAATTATGAAAGAGCTAGGCTTCAGATGGAAAAAAAAAACAGAAAATAATCGGAAGCTGGTAATTGAAAAAAGTAACATTCGATTACTACGAATCGAATATCTTCAAAAAATAATTAATTATAGACAAAAAAGAAGATCGAACCGACCGAGTCGTAAACTACACCGATGAGCCCTATGTCGACTTATCACGATGATGGCGACTCGGGTGATGAAAACAGTGATGATGATAATGGTCAAGATTATGATAACGAAAAAAAATTACAAATACCAGCTTCGCTTCAACTGAACGAAGACCTGGCAACAGCTCTAGTTTTGACTTAATAGAAGGAATATCTATTTTACCCCAAGATTAAATTATTATAATTATTAACCTATATTTTTTGTTGATGTTCTAATAAATATATAAATAAATACATATGTTGATTTTAATAATTTAATTGCATTATGACGCAGAGTAAATAATGTTTTTGCATGTGAGTGTACCATGCGCAAACTTACCCCCACTACGTCAACAAATGCTCAAGAAGTTTGCCGGCTATTATAAGCTGGGAAATATCTGTGCGTAATCTGATAGGACTGAAACTAAATTATTATTATTGCAGAATGGTTAAGCACAATGTACGTAAATTTCTATAATCGGCAACAAATACGCTTTTTCTTTGCTTTAAGTAAGAAACCTCAATAAACCTCAACACGTACCCAACAAATGTTCACGATTGACTTCCACGGTGAAGGAATAACATCGTGTAATAAAAATGAAACCCGCAAAATTATAATTTGCGTAATTACTGGTAGTAGGACCTCTTGTGAGTCCGCACGGGTAGGTACCACCACCCCGCCTATTTCTGCCGCGAAGCAGTAATGCGTTTCGGCTTGAAAGGTGGGGCGGCCGTTGTAACTATACTGAGACCTTAGAACTTATATCTCAATGTGGGTGGCGCATTTACGTTGTAGATGTCTATGGGCTCCAGTAACCACTTAACACCAGGTAGGCTGTAAGCTCGTCCAACCATCTAAGCAATAAAAAATAAAGATATTTGAGAACAAACAGAAATTATTCTATCAAACTATAAATCCTTTATTAAACGGCCGCGTGAATTTTTTTTTGTTTTTTTTTGTTTGAATTTGAATAATTTTTAAAGGTAACAAAGGAACAAAGAAGTATAATCATAAATCAAAAAGATTTGAAAGCACTATAAAAATATAAGAAAAATCTTACATAAATATGCCATTTTTCTTCGTTTCTGATTCAACTTCTCTAGGTTTCTCGTCCCAGACTAGGCAGCCATAAGGTAGAATTTATTTTATAAGTGGAAAGAATGCAATTTTAGATCTTAAATTGTGCTTTATATTTTTATTTAAATATGGGATCCACTTTTCATTATTATATTAAAATTTAAGTAATCTATCCTGCAAAAACTTTTCTTAAACCTAAATTAATAGGTAAGATGTCATTGAAGCCTTCTATTTATAGAATAGGATGCGGTTTTCTAAGTCGTTTTTTTACTTTTACATGATTAATTGTTCATAGCACGTAACTGACTTTCATCCGTGTTTGAGTATAATATTATGTTCTAACTTTTATTGAACAATCCCACCCTAATAAATGAAATAACTACATCAAATAAAACGAATCGAATTAACTACATATTAATATTGTATGACTGGCATTATTCAAACTAAGTATCAAAGAACCCAGATGATATCGATATGCGTTTTAAAAACATTTTTACGTAGTCTCCTTTGAACTGTGTTAACATATGCTAAGTATATTAACATACGTATAAAATAGAAACATTAATTAAAACAATTTATATTAATGAAACTTCGCAGAACCTCCATTTGGGGATTATCATCCAGAAAAACGGTGACCCACAAAGAGATAGAATTGAATAAAGAAGACCGACGGAAATTCGAAAAAGTTATAGTACCTGGCTGTGAGCTGCTGGCCGCAGCGACGGACCCTCGTTTCATCAAAAGCCATCTTCCATTATCCATGCTACCTCCTAATTTGATAGAGACAGCTAAAGTAGTATATGTTGGAAGAGATCCACGTGACCTTGTAGTTTCACTGTACCATTTTAGCCGCCTTATCTCAGTACCACTTTATACAGGAGACTTTAAAACTTTCTGGAACATGTACATGAACGATAACGGTAATTTAGCTCTTGAAATCATTTATTTCTAGATAAACTCAAGATGTATTGTAAATGAAAAAAATTTAAACATATAATATTCTAACAATCACATCGTCGTGGCCTAAGGTGCCTGGTATACCTACTCGTATCCAGCGATGCGTCTGTTCCAATTCCATGTATAAAAACACATGTTCACGAAATTATTTTACGAAGAATGATCTTTCTTGAACAGATGAACAGATTATGATTATTAGCCGCCGGAGCTCCGTGATTCGTAAGGAACGTCGACCTACACAGCGACCTGGGTCTCGAAACGATCCGCAAACCCTTGAAGTCAGCGTCGGAACGGTACTTCGATAAGGTTTATACGTCATCATAATCCCTTATCGTTACCGCCGCTGAGTACTCCCCGAATCCTGTCCACGCAGGAGCCAGTCGCCAGTGACGCCCTAGTCACGTCATTACAGATCCGTCAGTACTTATAGAAGTTGCATTAGACACCTTCAGCTCTAATATTATACGAAGGCTTAGAGACCCCGATAACCGTACTCCGAACTCGGCAAAGAGCATCCCATACATCAGCCCGCTGAATTTCTCGCTGGGTCTCCTCAGCGGGTCGCAATTCCGATCCAGTAGTAGATGCATTCGCGAAGCAGTTGTCCTTGAGCTGTTAGGTCTATTTCGGAGGCGCTCGGGCAGCTGTTAGCAAATCCCACCCCTTCTGGCTGAGCCTTTGCTCGCCCACCTGTCCTGGTGAAACTTGAAAGACGTCCGGGCCACAAAAACTCTTTCCTTAAAAAGAAAATTCGATCTCACATCTTAAGCTGGGTGGGCTGCCATTACGTTGTCGTCGTAGTATTCATCTAAACGGAATAACACAGGCATGGGTCGCTCAGAATTCTTATTTTAAGCTGTTCAATTGAAAATATAAACTTTAATTATTAATTTACTCGTGGACGTCATTGGTGTGGTCGGGTTAGGTAATTATACATCCGTATTTAGTGAGAAATATTAGTACGTACACCAAAATTCAAATTTCCGCAGTATGGTTAGACCTTTTTATTTAAGTTAATTAAATTTTTAATCCACTTTATTTGAATCTCACCATATATAACAAAAGATCAACAGAAAAAAATAACAATACTTCACAAGTTAGGTGAAGCGAAGTCAACCGGGCACCAACTAGTTCTCTTATCCAATTTAATGAAAATATTTTTTTCAGTTGTAAGAGCACCCCACCTATCACACGTGAAAGAAGCATGGGATTTAAGAAATCATCCAAATATGCTGTTTCTCTTCTATGAGGAACTCAAACAAGTCAGTGTGTTTAAGTTTAATATTTTGCGCTTAATATAGAACGTGTAAGGGAACTTGGTACGAACCGACAGAAAACAGTAGGGATAATTAGTTAGGCATGGATAATTCGACTTATCATTTTTAGGTCACATTTAGGTCACTTTTTTTTTATTGAGATAAATTATAAAATTAGAAATTGCATAATTAAAATTATAATACATATTTTTATAGTTTGATCTCGGGCTTATTACTTTCATTTAATTATTTCTGACCTTTTAATTGCATGTATAGTACAGTGTACTTTAAGAATCTTGTTAAAAGCTTAAAATAACGTGATAGTCATTTATGAGATCACGATACGATTTGATACCCTAAGCATTATCCGAAGCGAAACTTTTATCATAGCAAAACAAATTTATGTGATGCTTAGTTATTCAATGTATTAATTAAATAAAAAAATTCTCCACAGGACCTTCCCGGCACAATCAAACGCATAGCAAATTTTTTTAAGAAAACCTACACAGATGAACAAATATCAGGGCTTTGTAAACATGTTCACATAGATAATTTCAGAAATAATGACTCGGTCAATGTGAACTTTTTATCGAAAGTCGATGGTCTAATACCAGGAGAAGAACCATTTATAAGGAAAGGTAATTTAAAGGGCATAAGGAAAACTCAACCAATATATTATTATTTGGAAATTATTATTAATCATATACGTATATATTGTCATGATTTTTTTGAACACGACGTAAAGGCTTAATGTGGATGTGAACATGTCTTTTTAGCCAAGAACATTCAAAATTAGACCTCTTCGACGTTCAACTTCGCCACTAGTTAAATATAGTAGATATGAAGTACTCTGCGGAATACCTTGGGATGAACCCATCATCTCCACTTTACCTTCGCAACAATCCCGATCAAATTTCTTAACCGTCGATATGTGAATCGAGGTCACCAGAATTGCAGAATTGCGAGATCACCAGCGATTTGCATGTTTATTTATTTATTTATTTCTATACTTTAATTATATACCTACATAATTATTATTTAGTTACAAACATAGCTTTTTAAGAGATCTACTAACATAATGAGTAATGGTTACTTTAATAAATAAATAAACTAAAATTACTAATGTCCATGAGCATCGATGACCTCCATTATATGAGTCGCATACTCTTATGTCTATTACGCCCAAAAAAAAGATAGTTGACAAAATAGGTCTTATATATTTTACTACAAATTCAACAGGAAAAGTCGGTGGCTGGCGCGATTACTTCGATGAGGAGATGACTAAGGAGTGCGAACGATGGATGGCCAAAAAAGTGGAAGAAACTGGTATTCAGTTTCCAACTTATCCGTAATCGTGAAATAGATCGAATTAAACCACAAAATTTGTTCTTCCTTTCAATTATTTCTTCGCTATAAAATCCGATTCGCTGTTTAATTTTATCATCAACTAACTAAATCAGAGTAGATTTTGGCTCATCTTTGATTTGCTTTTGATCCAATCGCAAATAAACTTTACAAGGCGATTCTGCTAGGATGATGCGAAGATTACATCGAAATCAGTTTAGCCAATTCAGTCTTATAGATTATTTTTTTAATATCCAACATTCTAAATTGCTTGTACTNCAAAATCCGATTCGCTGTTTAATTTTATCATCAACTAACTAAATCAGAGTAGATTTTGGCTCATCTTTGATTTGCTTTTGATCCAATCGCAAATAAACTTTACAAGGCGATTCTGCTAGGATGATGCGAAGATTACATCGAAATCAGTTTAGCCAATTCAGTCTTATAGATTATTTTTTTAATATCCAACATTCTAAATTGCTTGTACTATAATTTTTTTGAAATAAAATTTAAGATTCCGCGATGTATTATGGTTTTTTGTGCACGTGATAATAATTTAATTGAATCACATGTCAGATGCGTGATATACGAGAAAAGCGAAAGCCCACCGCCAATGGCACGCTTCTCAATAATTAATCCCACATAAACACCTATGGAAGATCCATTTATATCCGATAAATTCGCTGAACCGAATTCAGTAACTGTCAGTCCCTTTGGATAATTGAAATCCGAAATAAGTTAATTACGTAACGAGATTACAAACGCTTTGTGATTTCATTGAAAATGCCTCGAGGTGTTTCGATTTAATAACAAAAGTGGACGGCGGGTGCGCTAGAGAATCCTACCTCATAGTTAGTGTTGTTTCCCCAAAGGATACTGAGCGAACTCGATCATAAACTTTAACGACCCGAGAAGTTAAGACGCTTTATACTTTTACATACTTACCAACACTTTGATTAGCATTTAGCCGCTATGAATATTTGAGAACTTGCCTTGATTGCGTATCAAGTATATACGAATAAGAAGTGTACTATTGAGTTCCTGTCGAGTGATACAACTATGTCTAGCTTCGAATTCTGTGGGTATCAATTAATAATACCAATAAAAAGTAAGATAAGGTAAGGGCTACGGGACACCAGTGATCCCAAAAAAAATCCTTGTGGTAAAGTAAAAAAAATGAAATTTAAGCCAGGAAAGGTAAGGTTAGAAAATGAATTTTTCTACAATAGATTTAATTTTACTACTTCAGCAAGTCTAGATTCGACTTAGCTGCACAGTTTTTCATAAAATTAATATCCTGAAGTGCAGCGGAGGTTAACCGAGCTTCGGAAGGTAACATTTCAAAGACATGAAATTGGAAATTTACATACTGTATAGATAGGGCTTCCGCCCAATATTAATGAACGATATTTTTTCTATATTTCTATCACTAAATTTACTGTTCAATTTATTAATCTCTGATATTATGCCCATGTCTTTTAGTTTTGCTCAGCATTTTTTTATTGAGTTTCCATGCTAAGTAAACAGATACATGATAATAAAAATATTTAATATTTAATACCTATCAATATAATTGTAAAGAATAAGTGGGTTTCATTTTATAAATCAAACGTTTTACAGTTTTCGTGGTTAAGGGTGACTGGCTGGCGAATACCTAAAACTACAGTAAATGGTAAATGCTTAGGATACCACGGGACCACGATTTTTTNTTATTGAGTTTCCATGCTAAGTAAACAGATACATGATAATAAAAATATTTAATATTTAATACCTATCAATATAATTGTAAAGAATAAGTGGGTTTCATTTTATAAATCAAACGTTTTACAGTTTTCGTGGTTAAGGGTGACTGGCTGGCGAATACCTAAAACTACAGTAAATGGTAAATGCTTAGGATACCACGGGACCACGATTTTTTTTTATTGCTTAGATGGGTGGACGAGCTCACAGCCTACCTGGTGTTAAGTGGTTACTGGATCCCATAGACATTTACAACGTAAATACGCCACCCACCTTGAGATATAAGTTCTAAGATCTCAGTATAGTTACAACGGCTGCCCTACCCTTCAAACCGAAACGCATTACTGCTTCACGGCAGAAATAGGCAAGGCGGTGGTACCTACCCGCGCGGACTCACAAGAGGTCCTACTACCAGTAATTACGCAAATTGTAATTATGCCGGTTTGATTTTTTATTACACGATGTTATTCCTTCACCGTGGAAGTCAATCGTGAACATTTGTTGAGTACGTATTTCATTAGAAAAATTGGTACCCACCTGGGAATCAAGACGAATGCACCGGACGTCTTATCCTTTAGGCCAAGATTACTTCAACGACGACTCATCGGGATACGATTTGTTCATGACTGTTCCACGAAATTTAAACCTTTTCGACTACAGCACACATAATCCATAAACAAATCATTACGTAATCAGTAGAACTTCACAAATTGTATAATCGAAAACCAAAAGCTTTGTTTAAACAATTTTACTAGCGAGCATCTCAATACAAAATTAAATTAGAAAGGCGGAATGATTAGATGCCAGTAGCTCGACGACCGGTAGCCGTAATAACTTCACATCGTACAGCGCTACGCTGACACGCGCCCCGCCCTACAACTAATTGCCGCCTAGTTGTTTATTTAAGCGCTTTCTGTTATTAAAACAATTGGTTGCGGTTGTGGCTCTTTGATTAGGTAACATAACGTTCCTTACCTTTTACGACTGCTTCTACGATGTCAATGCTTCTCAAAGTTAATATCATCGGTTCTACAATCAGATTTAATTTGATGGTACCTTTTCTTTTCTTCTTTTCGGTCAAAAATATACCGTAGTTTCTCACTCGTAGCGGAGGACACGGGGACCTAAAAGTGCTCTCAACCAACACAGTCGCGTCACTGAATCGCAACGACTTGGGAGTTCCAAATTTAACCTTGAACCCTATACCGCTCAAATCTCCCTTGAGTACACGTCGTATATTAACTTTGTAAGCTCGCGTTTCATTGTGACCTGTTGTTACTGCATACACTTTTCCCGTAAAAACGTATTTCGAGAGCAACGTCAACCGTTTCAATAAAACTTTGTCGTACGTGACAGACGAATCACAAGCGGAAGTGGCGTAACGTTGTTTTCGGAGGTCGACTTTCGCATCCGGATGAACTGCGCCCAAACCGATCGTCAACAGAAGAAACGCTACTAGGACTTGCATCGCGAGAGTGAGCGAGCAGACGCTCTGGATTCAGCACATATTTCTCTGGGCACTTTCTCGTTAGTTTATATATTTTATATGGAACCCGCACACGTCACGAGAGTTGCTATTTTACGTGCGCACGAGCGCAAGGCGCACCGGAGGCTGCGACTACAAGCAGGCTCTCACCCACTCGATCCAGATCGTTCACCTAACCTTATTTCCATACTGAACAGAAATATTAATAATAGCTCCATCACCGCATGTAATAAAACAACTTGTCACTAGTTGCAACATTAAATGCAGCATGACCATGGCTCAAAATTGCAATTTACAAATTTTATCCAAATAATTAACAGATAATGAACTTAGCACTGTCATTGATGGAAAAAACATAAAATAGTAATTACCATTTAGGTTATTTTAAATTACCAATTCGAAATATCAGGAAGCACATTAACAACATTTTATTCTAGAACTTTAATATCTAATTGCACTTGTAGCGTGTCGTTCTGATTTAAAACTGAATATTTACGTAATTGAGAAAGAAAATAAACACCGCTTATATTATTATATGAAAAAATGAAAACCAAATCTAGCAATATGTTGTCGGTGGCCCAAAGAAAATCATTATAGTACCGCAAGCTGGTGACATCAAAAATCAATTTGTAGCGTTTGATGTTGAAGCGCGCGACACTTGTTTTTGCTTCAAATCGAATCTCTCGGGGAATGTAAATTTTTAAAAGTCAATTAGAAACGATTTGCTTAACGCGCTCAGGAGAGATAATATCTGAATTACTAGCTTCTAGGTAGTTGTATCACTATGATTAAATGACCTTTTAGTAAAAAATAACCAATATGAAAATCCTCTAACAATTTTTTTTTTTTTATTGCTTAAATGTGTGGACGAGCTCACAGCCCACCTGATGCTAAGTGGTTACTGGAGTCCATAGAAATCTACAACGTAAATGCGCCACATACCTTGAGATATAGTTCTAAGGTCTCAGTATAGTCACAACGGCTGACCCAGCCTTCAAATCGAAACGCATTATTGCTTCACGACAGAAATAGGCGGGGCGGTGGTACCTACCCGTGCGGACTCACAAGAAGTCCTACTACCAGCAACATTACTAAAATTGCGTGCGACTAGATTTTAAAATAGTCGTTTCGCTTACAAATTCAGGAATCTACGGGTTAACTAACATCGCTACTACCAAACAATCTATTCCTGTTGGGAAGTAGTCATACGTCACAGCTTCAAGAAGGCTAGCCTTTATTTCAGTGCAACTGATTTTTTTTATTTTTTTATTGCCTTTGTAGACATACGAGCATACGGCCCACCTGATGGTGAGTGGTTACCGTCGCCCATGGACTTCAGCAATGCCAGGGGCAGAGCCAAGCCGCTGCCTACCGCTTAATACTCTCCATAAGCCTCGTTTGAAGAAGGACATGTCATAGCGCTCGGGAAACACCGTAGAGGGGAGCTCATTCCATAGCCGGATGGTACGTGGCAAAAAAGATCTCTGGAAACGCACTGTGGATGACCGCAGTGGCTCCAGGTAGTATGGATGAACTCTACTCCGGTGGCGGGCGGTGCGATGGTAAAAACGAGATGCTGGTATCATCTCGAACAATTCCTCAGAGCACTCCCCATGGAACATACGGTACAAAATACANTCTGGAAACGCACTGTGGATGACCGCAGTGGCTCCAGGTAGTATGGATGAACTCTACTCCGGTGGCGGGCGGTGCGATGGTAAAAACGAGATGCTGGTATCATCTCGAACAATTCCTCAGAGCACTCCCCATGGAACATACGGTACAAAATACAGAGGGAACCGAAGTCCCTCCGCAAACCCAGAGGCTCCAAACGATCCGAGAGAATGGGATTATCGACAATCCGAACGGCCCTCCTCTGTATGGAGTCAAATGGAAGATCGCGATATCCCTAATATGTCTAAAATCCCAAGTGGCAAAGTGCAAAATTCACATTGTGGTAAATATAGACTTTAGATCACTTAAAAAAAAAACCTTTTTCAAAAGATTTAGGCACTTAATTAAAAAAAAAAGTCTCAAAGTTCAGCTTAACGTCAAAGTATAATAAAATAAAAATTCATATCCAACAATAGTCCTGTAGTAATCCTGCAATTAATATGAAAATCTCTGAGCAATATTTATGACGCTGTCGCTAGCTAAAATTATTGTACTGTTTAATATTTACTGACGGACCGTATTTTACGCGGCGACCGGATTACGTGCGGAATATAAGCGTTAGCTGCGTTATCCAAATTTAATGATCGCCACTTGACACTCGATCATTTCCATTACCTAGAGCGAATATTTGTTGCATAGTTACGGTCCAAGTCGATTATTGCAGGCAGCGAACAGTTGTCCGGGTGCTAACTTTATTTACGACCAGGACTGCTATTCGATTTTCATAGTTTATGTGTTCAATAAACGAATTTCATTTGAACAAGATTAATTTGCTATCGACCGTGGTGAGTGCAGTAAAACTGGATTTTAAAATAACTATAAGTTCTCTTAGTGCGTTACAAATGACATCACATTTACTGGTGGTAGGACCTCTTGTGAGTCCGCACGGATAGGTACCACCGCCCCGCCTATTTCTGCCGTGAAGCAGTAACGCGTTTCGGTTTGAAGGGTGGAGCAGCCGTTGTAACTATACTGAGACCTTAGAACTTATATCTCAAGATGTGTGGCGCATTTACGTTGTAAATGTCTATGGGCTCCAGTAACCATTTTACACCCGGTGGGCTGTGAGCTCGTCCACACATCTAAGCAATAAATAAAAAAACATTTCCCTGCATTTCTCTCCTTCGGAGGTTGTACCGTGATAATAATTTCCAAAGTGTTTGATGTGGTTACGCGCGCCCGTGACAGTCAAAAGCGCCCGCGTGAAATATTGTTACACCTACGTTTAGGTTTTCGTATAATCCTTTTGGCTCTGAAATTATAACCCGTGAATATACATAAAACGCTGCTGCGTTGCGGTAGACTGTAATTCTACTGTGGAAACGTCATAAATAATTGTCGTCCGTTCGGTATTAATTAATTCCACTCCAAAAGTGAAATCGATAAAAACGTTGTTCGCTTACTTGAAAAATGCTGACTTCGAACCTGAAGCAATTTTCTCTTTAACTTTTATGAGTTATCAGCTTAAAGAAAAGCCTTTTAAGAATTTGTATTCACAATATTTTGTTGCTTACAATGAACAGGCCCGTGGACACACTTGATTATAAAAATGTCAGTAAATAGATAAAGAGTATTTTAACGGGGATAACGTAAAAACATTCGGTGTTGCAATTTAATGACCCCAATCTAGGAATTTTGTGTACGACGTATACCAGAAATTCACAAATGTGCTAAGTGATCAATCAGTTGCATAACATCCAAATGACGACAAATAACACTTTAGTCGTTCGTGACTAAGAAAATTGTAAAAAACAGATAATCCTCCTATAACGCGGTAGACACGTTTAAAGTAACGTGTTGTGCGAAACCGTGTTATATGAGACTAGAACCCAGTACAAAAAAGAGAGTATTTTTTCTAAATGAAACTACTCAACTATAATACCCATATGTATTTTTTTACTTATTATACATTAAAAATAAGCAGTTAAATTTCGCTTATTCAGATATATTGTGAGTTCCTAGTGCATAATGTAATTCTCTGAATAATTTTAAACAAAAATCTCGTTATCGTGTTGTAGAAGTACCGCGCTATAAGAGGGTTATAGGGAAGTTTTCTTTTCGTGTTACAGCCGAACCGTGTTGTAAAATTCCTTGTTTTTGAAGGGTTACGTATATTCGAAACGTCAGAAATAATCTAATGACAAAAGCGAGAAGAAAAAAACGCGAAGATAACGTTTTAATTATATCTGTCAACTAACGGAAACCAAATAAGCTACTATACACAATATATAAGACAAGAACAAATTACAATCTTTTTACAGAAATAGGCAGAGTGGTGGTACCTACCCGTGCGGACTCACAAGAAGTCCTACCACGAGTAATGACACTTAAAATTACACTTACAATTAAACAATGAATACGAACACAGACTCGTGGTGGTCAATGCTAAATATCACTAAAGTAATTATGTAAGTGATCGTCACAATTTATTACCCAACTAACGTAACTAATTACAATTGAACAACTAATTAGTTGAATTATCATGTTATGAATATAAATATGTATATAAATTTCCAAAGTTTAAATAATTAAGTAAAATTTTCTCTCTTCTGTTTGTCCAGACATTTCTTATTTGTTTTGTCGAGTAGCTATTGACATGCTTTATTACTTATTTATTTTATTTTATATATAATACATATCGACGCTTGAAAGGCAAATATGACTAAGCGACAATGCGTGAACTTTGCAGTAGACTAATTTAAAGTTGAAATACCTGAAAAAAATTATATTTTAACAAATCTAGCTGTAGGATTGAAACGATTTTAATAGACCTAGACATATATTTTTTTTTGCGCATCGAATATGGTTATTGCCTACCATTTATGTACAAAGCTGTTATTGTCGCTTAGTCACGTTTGCCTTTCAAGCGTCGATATTTATTTAATAAATATATTTTATATCGATAGTAAAATATTCAATAGCACAACAGAAGACAAAAGGAATCTTAAGTCTTGAGATATAGGGCCATTTTTTTTGTAAATTGCTATTGATTATAAATTGATTATAGTGCAATTAAAAAATCTTGATCCTGGTCGAATTTCGGTAATTAACCAAACCAATTATTCGAAATACAACTGTTCGTTAATGATACATCACGATCTCAAATATGTGACAGTTATTCGTAGTAGAAATTCTATAATTCGAAAAAAAAAACTAAACATGCGTGTAATTTGTCGAATAGGGCGAGGTACGCTGTCGGCTTGTGCTCTCTCGCTGGATGTCACATCAGTAATTAAACATTCCAGCAGCTCCTCTTGATATTAAACCGTTTGAAAATTCTAACAATGTCGCACACTAGACTCCTCCTATGAAAATTACTTGTAATTTGCGAAGATACCCCGAATACCTATGCTGGTAGACGTTTCATCTGATAAATATTCAGTAACAATATTGAAAAGGACTTATATAATTACGGTTTTAATAAGTTTTAATTGATCTAATAGGTACGCAACGGTGTATAAGGTGAACTAATGCAATCCCATTAATTCTTCGCCGCAACGGTCTGTGCAGTGCGGTTTGTCGTTGTGAGGAAGCTCAGCCAAACCCACTAAGAAATTAATAGAAACTTTCTCGCCAGATCTTCTCAGAGGGCTGCG